TACAGCCGCTGCTGCTGCAGCAGCCGCTGCTGCTGTTACTGCAGCTTCCACTTCATATTACGGGCGGGATCGGAGCCCCCTGCGTCGCGCTACAGCCCCAGTCCCCACTGTTGGAGAGGGCTACGGTTACGGGCATGAGAGTGAGTTGTCCCAAGCTTCAGCGGCCGCGCGGAATTCCCTGTACGACATGGCCCGGTATGAGCGGGAGCAGTATGCGGATCGGGCGCGGTATTCAGCCTTTTAAAGCTTGAGGTGAGAGCGGTGGGGCGTCCCTTGTTCTGGTTTTGCCATCCCTCCTGCAGCCTAAAGGCACCAGTTTGGCTGCTCTGCTTGCTTGCGCAGGGTTAGGGAAAGTTGTTAGCATGGTTCAGAGGATAGGGAGAAGTCCTAACTAATTAACTTTCTGAAATATATAAACATCCTTAGCCCTCATGGCTATTTTTCCAAGGCTCCTAGTCCTGGGAGTCAGTCTGATTTTATTTGTTCCTGGAAAAGCAAAGAATGGTGTGCTCAATCTTGGGTCACACCTGTGTGCTTTAACTGAACCGAACCTGGGACCCAGACATTCAGACCCACTGTGCTGTTTCTCAGAGCCTTTGTCCTAGGTGTGCGACATTACTAAGGTCTGCAAGTTTACTTTTCTCCTTCATGCTATGTGAAAGGTCTGATATGACCTGTGATGATAAAATCTATAACTAGTTAATTGGTCATCACTGCTCAGATCCCAGTTACTATGAAGACTACCCCAATGGCATCATCTTAATCTTGAAGCAGCATGTTTCTGACATTCCTGAACAGTTTACCCCTTGTGAGCTTTATAGAAAAAACTTATTTGATGGTAAGTTGGGGCAGAAAGGAGTAGAAAAAAGGTATCTTTTAATTTACAAAGTTGATTTCAACAAGGAATCTGGGGCATAGACTCATTCAACTTCTCTGGTCAGTTCAGATTCATTCCCTGAGCTGAACAGAATGGCCACTCCTTAGCTCTATCCTTGAATCTGTCCCATAAGAGCCTGTTTACATTGTTCAGGGTTTTTTTTTGTTTTTAAACTGTCCCCACATTGTTAGATTTGACTTCATCTCCACTTCAAGGTATATAATAATATAAATATATATGCACCCCTGTTAATTTTACTTTCTCCAGTTATGTTGAAATCCAGGGTTGGGAGCTTTGCCTTAAGCAGATCACTCCCTTCATCTTGCCACTGGTTATGGACATTTAACACTCTTGAACCACCAGCTCTACCTTGAGTCCTCTGGCTATTTTCTCTACTGTACATTTTGAGCCTCATGATCCATTTGGCTCTACTTGAGTGTATTCTCTTCTGATGCTTGCCAGCTTTGGGCTCTAGGTGTTTTGAGATTGCTGTTGTATTAAAGGGTGTTTCACACCCCCTTTGTTTTGAGTAGCCCCCATTGTGTCCCAGACATTACCATTGATTTGTAATCATGTGCTAACAAGATGGGTGATACTGTCACCTTTTCAGTTAGGGCTGAAGGTATGTGACTTGCCCGGGGTTACTGGATAGGAAATCACTGGAGAAGAAACTTGAGTGACTTGATAATGTAGCTTACGCATGCCCTCTGGTATATTTTAGTTTCTCCCTGAGGCAGAGATGAATACCCTTAGGTCTTAAAGCTTGCTCAGTTGATGTACTTTTTCCTAGACTTAAATGTTTTTTAACTTGTTAACTCCAAGATTCAAACATACTTTTACTCCAGAATGCTAATTGGAACATTTCCCTTTTTCCTGCCCTCTAGTGACAGTTTGTAAATGTGAAATTACCTTGTCTGAAGAATGGTAATGTTAACATCAAGAGAAATGCAATGTCCACCTGTTCTCATGAAAGAAAGTTTGCAATTTAATTTAGAGAAAGACCCTAGTCTGAGATTGCTTGACCTTCCCATTTACTCTCTGGCCTTCATACTCTTCACTTTTAGAGGTTATTATGGTACTGTGGATGGGTATAGCTAAACTTAAGAGGAGTGTCGTTACCATATTTTGTAAAGATGTTCTTTGAAGTGTTAACTGGGAAAGCCTTTTGAGCTTTTCTGTAAAGCCCCTGTATTGTGCTCTCTTTCAGGTGGGATGTGTGTGGGCTGAAATTCCGAGCTGCGGTTGTGCATGAGAATACACCCTTCGTGGTACCCCGTCTCCGGGACGTTCTCGGCTCTGTGCGTTCAGTCCCTCAGGAACCGTGGACCTTAATTTACCTTGCTAAGTTCAGACCACCTCTTCCTTTCCTCTGTCCTGCCCATTTTCCTGTTCTTCCTGTCCTGCAGTACTTCTGTAGCTTCCCATTCATGTTCTGTTCTCCCAGCAGGCCTCATTGTGTGCAGAAACTGATGGGGGTTGTGCTGTCTCCCTGCCTCCTGCTTCCAGTGGGTGTTGTGAGAGTGTCACTGCTCCTGAGTCATTTGGCCCAAAGGCTTGTGGCGGGTAGATATATAGAGTTGGATCACCTTTTTCTTTCCGGTGAAATAAATGGTTTTTCAACTTAGGGAGTGTGTGCTTTGAGAGAGTTCTTGCTTGGGCTTGTGTCTGGATTCTTTATTTGTCCCTGGAAGAGAAGGGGAGGGTATAAAATGTCAATTCATTTCTGAGTTAACATGATCACTGCAGTTTTCTTTATTGAAGATAGGACTTACAGGTGCCAAAGGAAAAAGAGGGGTTAATGTAGAAGAACTCAAGCAGGCAGCCTTATTTCATTAAAGACTTCTTCCCTCTGGTACACCTTTGTTATAAAACCAACTACTTATTAGTAGTTTTCAGATGTAGGACTTTCCCTGCTTTAGAAGCAATCATCCTTCCCCCCACCCCCAGCCTTTACTACTGCCATTCCAACCACCCCACCCAGTCAAGACATCTAGCTTAATTCCAAGGAAGAGGTTTAGGAAAAGGAAGGATTTGAGGGAATAGGAGGTCAGCTTTCACTTCATGCCAAATGAAAAAATTAAATTGTGGCTCCAACAGCATCCTGCTGTTTTTCTAGGCCAGTAAGTAATACTTTTGATGCCTTTCACCATCTATTTTTATAGTTCTGCGAAAATCCAAAGAATACCACAATGTCCCACTAGTGTCTCATTGCCTTCAGAATGATAGGCATAGAAAAAGGACCCAGCAGTGAGTGAGCTTTAGATGATTTAACAACTAGGGTGGGGATTGAATAAAAGAAAGCCACTGCTTAGTTCCGTGCTTCTATCGAAAGACTATCTTCCAGATTTTTTTTTGTACCTTCTTGTTCCACTTTATGTATAGTGGGGCTGTGTCTGGTTAGGGCATTTTCCCTGAATCGTTCAGCAAATACTGAGCACCTGCTGTATGCCAGGTATTATGCTTTTAGGCATGATGGGGTTGTGGTGAGCGAAGATAAGAAAAAGCTGGTTTTTAGTTGAGTGATCTCTCAGATATTCAACTTAATGTTTCTACCTGTTGGTAATTCTCAGCTGAGTGGGAATAACTTTCAATACAGTTTTTTACTTATTAATTGTTCTATATGAAGCCTTGTTAATAGGTGTTGTATGTGTTAATTTCCCAGCCACCATTCTCTTGTCAATTAAAATCTTATTTCTCTTACCTCAAAATACATAAATAGTTGCTGAGTACAGAAGTTGTGAGTGGTTATGGGATTAAGACAACAGTTCCAGGAAAGCTGTTGGTCGAGTTGGGATTAGGCATGGGAAAAGTTAGCTCCTATGGATAAGAAGCAGTCAACAAAGAAGATTATGGCTAATGTTTAGGCTAGGTAGTTTCCTTGCATTTGGCTTGGTTTTCCGCCACTGCCACTTCTTGGAGGGTTTGCCTACTTGGATCCTTTTTTCTCAAAAGATGGACCCATCACTGATGAACACTTTTATCAACATACCCCTTGGTCTGATGGGTGGGGTTGGCAAGTTTCAAAAGAAGGAGGCTAACAGTATTCATTGATTCAACAAATGAAAAATTTTGAGTGATAACTCTGCAAGATACTCTTCCAGGTATAGTTCTGGAGCTTATACATTCTAAAAGGGGGATACAGTACATGATGTCAAGTAGAGAATTTTCTTTAGATGGGAATGGTCAATAAAGGCTTTGAGGTAGTGACGTTACAGTGGGTTAAATATGGGAGTAATGTATTTTTGCATTATGAACATGCTGTTAAAATTTAAAAGGGAGTCACTTTCTTAACTCCCTTTGAGTGCATGTAACAAAACCTAAGTAGTTACTCATAACTGCCAGAATCTGGGCTGGTTAATGCTACATTCCTCACTCCTGCTGTAGTTTTTTTTTTTAATTGAAAAACTATTAAAAACAATGGAAATTAGCAAGTTTTTAAGAGGTGGTTTGAAATGATTGACTTTAACTTGCTAATATTTGAACACTAAGTTTTTTGGAATTACTTTTGTGTAAGCTTCTAATCAGGTGTATCTCAATTGAGGCCACAAAGTCTGCTCTGTGTAACTGACAAAGTTATACTGCCATCACTTAGCCTCAGAAGTTATACAGTAGGTTTTCAAGAGCAATGCTTTAAATACATTGGTTTTCTGTAGCCTTCCACTTTTCATTTGGTTGAGTGGAGTGTGGTTAGCATCCACCTGAGAGCTTGCTTTGCACTTTATGAAGTACTTATCACTGGTTGCCTACTATATGTAAGTACCATGTGGTGCATACAGAGATGAGTAGATGCCTGTCCTTAATTTGCTTCCACAAGCAGTTTTCTGTCTAGGCCTAGGGTGTGCAAATAACGTGTGCCACAGTAAGTCAGGTGGGGATGGGAATGGTTACACTATTCTGTTGGATTGCATCTGGCCCAGCCTGATTCTGGATGGGTCAAAGGGCTTAGGGCAGTTTTCAGGATGATAATTGGGGTTTGATTTGGTGTTGGGACTCTTAACTTTTACTTAAAAGTCTTCTCGGCATCCTCAAAGTTGGGGTTGACTTGAGTGAGTGTTAGATTAAACCAGGCTCCCTATCCCAGAGCTACATCAGCAATAAACTAGACTGTTAAGGGGGTGGAGTGGTGAGAGGTAGTAGACCATTTGCATAAAATGCGGGTGCAAATTATTGGAGTAAAGTTTACTGGAGTTCACCATGTGGGCTTATGCTGAGGGAAAAGGAATTCCCAGAATGATGGTGATGAGAAGTCCCAGTACTGGCCTTGGAGAACAGTAGTCTAGGTTGAAGCAGGAGAAAGTTGAGTTCTAGAATGGGATGGCTCAAAGACTGAATTAAAAACTTAGGTATTTGAGTGTTTTGAGGAAATAATTTGGTTCATTTGAAGATAACAGAGCTGAATTACTGGTAAGTACATAGAAAATAAATGAAAATATGTAAACGATAATTCCAGAGTAAACAGAAACTTGTAAAATTAATTGTGATGCTCAACCTAGTCATTATGGTGGCATAATTTATATATTTAATAAAATAACTGACATCTAAATTGGGAGAAGAGGGAATTGTGGATGGGTAAGTAATGAGGTGTGTAAGAGCAAAACTCAAAATTTCATTGTGGAAATCATAAGTTTTTAAACTGGTAAATGGAGAACAGTGGGCATCTTATTCAGACACAAAGGTAAGGAACAGCTAAAAGAGCTAAAAACTTGTTTCTGAGGAGGGTGGTGCAAGAGACTGTTGAAAGTATACTGTTTGCTTTGCTAAGTCATGTTCATGAATAATTTTGATAAAAATAAGTTTTATGCCAACAGCTCTTTTTTCTGACCTACGCCTGAGATGATGGCTTAACATGTAGGGAACCTTCCAACTTCTCACCAAAAGCAAATTTTCTGACATGAATAGGGACTTGTATTACTTTACAGGCAGGTAAATAACACCCCTGGTAAATAACAGTTTGTTAAGGAGATAAGACAGGGAAGGAGGAAGTGCTTAGCTAAGTGGTAAGTAAACCTTAAAAGCTGAGTTGAGTATTACTGCTGTTCAGTCTAATTTGTCAGGGCCAATAGGGAAACTGAGTACTACATTCTTTGTCCACTGGGGCTAGTTCATCCTTTAAGGACTTAGCCTGCTGCTTTCCTAGAGTATGTCTGTTGAACATGCTGAATTGTTTGTACTCAGTTAAGCTACAAGAAGGGCCCCTTCTCATTTTCACTGTAAGAAATATTGAAACCAGATTGAGAATTTGAAGCTTTGTAAGTATAGAATTTCCAATCTGATCTGTTTCATCTAGGCTATTGGAAGGGGAAGGAAGATACTTTTTAGCCACTGGCTTGAGCTAGATTAGGACATTCCAATTTATAGACTCAGTGATTTGAAGAGCAGACTTTAGTAGTGAGCAATGAAAATTTTGCCTGGAAAGGCAGAGAAGCAGCCTGGGAGCTAATCAGAAAAAAAGTTTCCTGTAGAATTTCAGCATGCCACATCTTTCAAAATTCAGGAGGCCCAGCAGAGAGAAGGAACCAGATTTTGAATATATCTCAATTTTTAAAAAACTTTATGCAGTGAAATTAACATGAGATTCTAGGACATAAATATATTTAATCCGTAATTTTTCCCATATTTTAAAGTAACTCTGAAATTTGAATGTTGCTTGATATCCATAGTTTAATTGGTATGTTTTGGTTTTAGTGGTACATAAAATAATGATGCATCTTAAAATCAATGATGACCTTTAAAATCAGTGGCATTTTGGATTAGGTGAAATATGGTTAGTTTACATGAGGGCAAGTATATCTGTAAATAATTATGTTCCTAGAGATGGAATGGCATTTTACATTTTGCTACGTGTCAGATTGTTCTAGAATTTATTCTGGTTTTTAGTCCCACCAGCAAGGTATGAAAATATTTTCTTAAACCCTCATCAGTGCATTTGTTGATCTTTTCCAACCTGATAGGTTAAATGGTATCTTATACTTAGCATCTATTTTTATAATGAGTGAGGATGATCATTATATTTTTAAGAGCCATTTGTATTTCGTTTTTGTCCTTTCATGTCCCTAGTCCTTACCTTTTTAAAAAATTGGGTCTTCACTTTGTTAATTTGTGGAAGCAATATATATATTAAGGAAATCAGTTCTTTGTGATATGAGTTGCTAGTTCCAGTTCCAGTTTGTCATTTTATTTCATGATATTTTTTCCATTCAGGAAAATTAAATGTAGTTGAATTTCCAGCTTTTTCTTAGGACTTCAGGATTTTGCATCATACTTGGGATTTCTGCACTTGAAGAACATAAGAAAATTCTTAATTTTTTCCTGGTACTTCTATGGTTTTATTTTTTAAGTTTAAAATTTTAATCTATTTGTAATTTATTTGATATAAAGTATGAAGTAGATATCTAACTTTGCTTTCTAGATGGCTTCTTGGGGACCATATTGAAAGAAAGCTCAGTTTAATTGCAGTAGAACTAAAGGGATGAAAATAATGCCATTAGAACATCATATCTCCTTTTCTGATTACAAGAAATTTTAGCACTTTTGATGAAAGACTGGAATGAGTGAGACAGATCCCTCCTACCTAGTCTAAACAACCCTGCTTATACAGGGGGAACCACTGCTTTAGACCAATAA